TCGGCTGAACTGATGATTGCATGAGTCATTGAAGAGAGCCTATCAGATAACACGCCGTCCGCGGTCAGAGGAAATGTGCTAGTTGAGACAGTTGGGATGTGCTTTATAGCCGGAAAAGAATGCGACAGGTGTGAAATGGCACACTTGATGTAATTCAAAGTTGCAAAGTTGCTCCCTTAAGTTCGATCCTTGTTGAAATCAGGGGGAGGGGGCGGTAGTAACTTTCTCTCGGGGTGGCAGGACCCCCCTCTCTCTCTCTCTCTCTCTCTCTCTCACACACACACACACATACACTCACTCTTTCTCTCTCTCTCTCTCTCTCTCTCTCGCTCTCGCTCTCTCACTATCTCCGGTACAGAATACATCGCTCTGACCAGGCCGAGTCACCATGTGTCCAGCAGGCAGAACATGGTGTGAGGCTGACCACGGGCAGGAAGTAAGCCATTACAAAGGTAGGCCTGTCTATGTCAGTCCAGCCAGTACAGGACCACATCGGCTCTTTGTGTTCTGATTCCTCGATACAGTAGCTGCCGGAACCCGCGAGATGCCGTTTCACTTAACTAGTCGATCAAGCTGCCATTAATAGAGAAGATTTATGTTGTCATATTTGCCTCATGACACTCCGCCTCTCAGTGCGGTGAGGAGCGTCCTGGAGGAGCAACTGCGTGATTTATGCTCGCCCCAATGTATAGAATGTGGTTTTAACGAGGATGTGATGCCATTCACTGCTGCGTTATGTCTGTACTATATGAGCCGATACATCGCGCATTAACTATCATCTATCTCCAGTAACTATATGAGTAAATATACCGCACATTAACTAACATTTATCTCCAGTAACTATATGAGTAAATATACCGCACATTAACTAACATTTATCTCCAGTAACTATACAGGGGCGGATTTAGGGCGTCTTCTGGGTCTTCCGGAAGACGGTCAGATTTTCAAGTTTACATTGACGGGTATCTAATTTTTTATGTCGGAAGACGGTCAAAAATGGAGGATGGATCAACAAAGATAAATTGGAAGACTGTCAGAAAATAACTCTGGATCCGCCCCTGCTATATGAGAAAATATACCGCACATTAACTAACATTTATCTCCAGTAACTATATGAGAAAATATACCGCACATTAACTAACATTTATCTCCAGTAACTATATGAGTAAATATACCGCACATTAACTAACATTTATCTCTAGTAACTATATGAGTAAATATACCGCACATTAACTAACATTTATCTCTAGTAACTATATGGACCAATACACCACACATTAACTAGTAACTGTCAGAGCCGATATATGTACACTCTACATTAACAATCATCTATCTCTATATTAGCCACACATTATTATCCATCTTTAGTAAATATATGAGCCAATACACCGCACATTTAATTACATTTATCTCTAGCAGCTATGACATTTCTTGACACAACGTCATAGGACTACATCTATTGAAATATTACTTTCGGAGGGCTGGGCGTTGTTTTACTCGTGTTAATTATAAACGTTTTTTTTCGTTTGTCAAATACCAAAATAACCATCAAACTGATAGGTTTGTAGCTCAATTCGCTATATTTCACGAAGAGAAATGCAGGTTAATCCTAAAGAAAAATGCTGATGACAAATGAAAGAGATAAATACTTTTTAATTTCCATTTTGCCGGTAGACGTTAGCCGCAGCGATTATATGAGCATATTTTGTTTGGCCTTAATATTGTTTCTAATTTTAATAACGGGTCTGGTAATTATCCATGTGCCAGAGTATAATCTCTTTATTTAAGCGTTTACGGTGATCGTTATCGTAGCCAGTAGATTAGAACTATTTTATTTCCATACGCACATCTTAGTCTGCTACAACTTTATCGTTTCCGTGACATATCGTTCTTTATTAATGAAGTAATTATTCTCAACTTATGACGTATTATTTTCTCGAGGTAAAAATGCAAGAAGCCATGGAACGGTTCACGCGGTGTTTGACGTGAAGGCAATGGGACCGAAAGCGTGTGTTTGGCTGTAAATGTATCTATTCGCCTAGATTTAGAAATACCAAAGGTAAACTTTGTAAATTTTTGATAATTCTAGTACGGCTACAGTTTTGTTGACACTCTGTTATATGTAGCCGGATAGTGCCCATCTCGTCAAATTAAGATAAAATTTATAGAAATACTGTATTCCTTCTAATACGTTTACAATTTTGTTCACGCCAATTGCGTGTCAGACAAAAGGCACTAATCTTAAGCATCAGTGGATTGTATACGGGGTTACGGTGAGAAAAAAGCATGAACATTCCCCTGGGCTTCTCAACTGTATTGAAAAACATACCGAGTTCAATGTCCCATCAAACTGTGAAACACTGGCTGAAATATCATCTATAAAAATGATTTCAGGACTGATGAACTCTTCAGCTGCCGTCAGTCGCGTGGACGATGATTTGGTTTCTGCCATTTCACTTCGAACAGAAACGCAAATTTTAGAAATGAATTTCAAAAGTGAAAAAAAAAAAAAGAAATTAAGAAAAAGAATATTAAAAGAGTTCTATCAATGACAAGCATGAGGGAAAGTATGTTTAATGAAATAAAGATTTATTTATATTTTATAAACTCAAAATAGATGTGGACGATTTCGGACAAAAACAACACAGTTTAGTTTCCTCGGCCTCAGGGCAACATATCAGTGCAGAACGCCCGCTAGAGAGGGTACAGTCGTAAGTGGTAAAGGGGTTATATCTGTTTAATGTGTTTAATCCCGGCATTGACGGACGCTGAAAAGACATTAATCACGGCGTAGTAAGGAGGCAACTGGGGGTTAAATGGCCGACAGCATAGAAACCCCTCATAACTTCTGTCCCGGAACGCAGCCCTCGTCGACATTACCCCGCTTGCCGTTCACATTAGCCTCTAGGAACGCGACTGGCCGCTGTAATACCAACGCTGTGAGAGAGCTCACGTGAGTTTACCACTGAATACACACACAGGCAGGCTACAGAGGAAGTCGAATATCTGTAGAGGTAAGTTTTTATCAAGCGTATACACATTATACCATCATTTAGTTCTTCTGTACCTTTGTCTTTAAAATTTAAATACAACAAAATGGCCCCAGTGGCTGCCTCAAATCCTCTGAATCCTGGTGATGTAGAACCGATATGACTGCGGGAGCAGGAATCTCAGAGCAGCGTATACTGGCGGAGATAAACACTGGATATCAGTATCTGTCAAACATTGGAAAATCTGCTGAAGATCAGGGTAACACTGTCAGTTTTCTAAACACGTACACGCAGGACTGGACATTGTATTTCTGTATCATATTTTCCGGAGCAAATCCACACAGACGAAAGTAGTACATAGTAGTTGAACGTCAGCATAGCCGACATTCAAACTAGAATATGATGGACGTATGGCACAAACAAAAAATACAAAGAAGAGATAACAAAAGCTGAAGATATGCATTTTTTTATATTTCAAATATTATTTGAGATGAACAGCAGAGTGAGTCGAGCTGTGGCGTACAGACTTTTTATGATCGCGTTATGAAGAATGGAATAAGATTTTACGAGGTGGGAGACATGATTGTTAAGGGCAGAAATAGTCAGTATTTTGGTACATAACAGTTTCAGTAGACAGAGACCCATTCTTTACTCGAAGATACAGATTGCCTCTGTTCTTGTTCCTGTAGAAGCCGACACACAGCGCCCGTTGACTACAGACAGAGAGAGGAGGCTCCAATATATCACACGCTGTTTGTAGAACTCCCAGGGTAATGGGGCCAGCTTTGTTAAATTATAAACAAGGCAAGTGTTTTAAGAACAATATTTATTCCCTCCCAATAAGCATTTTGGCAATATTTCATTCCTGTCAATCCAATCCTTACAACGATTTGATTCTAGTTAATCTAATTAATTTATCCAATTGTTTTGAACAAAATGTTTCCTGCGTTCCTCGCGCTTTCAGCGAGCTCAGACGAGGACTACGTCAGAACGGATAGCGCTCCAAGTCAAGGTCCAAGCCCATGTTCCAGACAGAGATAAAGAATGGTGAACGTCTAATGACGTGCGTCGGACCGATATGTAATCCTTGGCTGTTTGGGTGTGAACGTGCCGGAGGTTGTATTATGTTGCTGTAAAGTGTATTGTGGCACTGGGGCCATGTTCTGTGCCCCGGGATAGAAGGGGGTCTAAGGTTCGCAGCATGTCGTTATAAAACAACGTTATAAAATATGCACTCTCTGGGCGTTGACTGAACGGTGGAAGTGCCCTGAACATGTGTAATTCACCCTCTGCTGTCCTGAGTGATTTCGTCGAGGAGTGTTATCGACCTGAACGCGGAGCAACCTTGTAGTCACTGGAGACGGGGAAACTGAAAACAACGCAAACTATATCGACATGAGGACTGGTTTTCTATCGACAAACTGTACATTTTCGATGGTTTCCATATTTAGGAAAAAACAAGAAACAAAAATGTTCAATACTGAATATTTTGGCTGCCATTTCTTAAGGCTCCATGGTCACCTTCCTCTGGTATACCTGGACAAAACAAGACAAAAAGGCTGAGAAATTTATATAAATCATTTTAATATCTTAAAGCAACATGAAAAAATTCTTTCCAAGACGGAAAAAAAGATAAAACCATCAAATCGGTAAATAGTCCAAGATATGTATGAGTTTATGTTGATGATATCGATATAAAGCTTAAGAGTAGTGAAACACGAAAATCGAGGTTTTAAAACCCATTTATAAATGTAATCTCTTTTAAGGCCAGTCACCAGTCTCATGTTAGCATTACTTACAATGATATCTCGTCTTTGGGAAAATAAGAAAAAAAAAAAACAATGCACTGTGTTATCAGTTGTAATATTTAGAACTAAAAGAACTATTTGTTTTAACCCACTCTCTCTCTCTCTCTCCTTTCTCTCTCTTTCTCTCTCTCTCTCTCTCTCTCTCTCTCCACCCACCTCGGTTAAGGCTGTCATATAATAAGATAAGCTTAATACCCTGATCAATTACCTGTGCGTCGCTATCAGCCATACAGCACGTAAGTGATCTTTACAAAGGACTCGAGGACAGCTCAACAGGTGCTTGCTGGGATAATCTCATTACACAGACCGCCGAAATACGACTTGATTGAGTCACTCTCGGCTGGAAGCAGAACATACTGAGGTCCTCGTACAGAACGCTCGACTCCCGCGATCTCCTGCTGAACGCTGTACCCCGGGAACACACTGAGGGCACAAGAGACGAGATCGCTGCCGGTAATATCACCTCGGGTCATCTCACCTCGGAGCCTGAACACCGGGTGACTGTGGGCGAATTCCCCGAAATCTCATTGAGGGATCATCTGATCATCCAATAATACGTCGCTGGGAGAGGTTTTATGAGGGCTTTCCTTCTCTGCCATATACACACACGTGTTGGTGTTTTATGTCGTGAAGTTAATCTTAGATGTAATGTTATATAAATCTTTTACAGATCGTACAGCGCACGGGCTTCGGATGTATTTAGATGGAGTCTCACTCCGCCAGTTTTAACCTACTCACTGTTAAACGGGATTAAGAATTATCAGCAGATAGAAAAGGAAAGAGGGTTTTGACGACGCCAGTGAACGCGGAAGGCAACTTACACTCCGGTCGTGTGACACCGTCGTCTCACAGTGACAAGAGAAATTGGAACTGGATATACGGATTTTAGGACGACATCAAACTTAAAAGAATTTAGTGATTCTCAGACGTTTGAAGTGCGGTTATATAAGTCAGCAAGGGAGGGCAGGAACGGCGGCTGATGACGCTCATAGCTAGAGATCGTATCTTCTTCTCCGCTTAGTAAACGCCGTGCTCTACCCTTTAATCTGGCCAGTTTAGCGCCTACTCATCACTCTCACGCCACAGGCCGGATTTGACCACTAGTGGACACAGGACTGGACACTGCTGACCATGTGGTGGACGATAGGACTGCTGGTGGCACTGACTCTCTGCCTTCAATACTCGGCGGGGATAAAATGGCTGTAAGTACAGTATGAAAATGTTTTATTTTGTCTATCCGTGAAGTGATTTTAATTTTTGAAAATACACGAAAATGTCATTTTCTTTATGATGTTGTAATAGGTATTGTTTTGAGATAAAATGCCCAGAAGTGAGTAAAATCCCACAGACTTATTTGGAGTTCCCAAAACCAATGATTTATTTTACCGTTGTTTCAATTTATTTAATATATTCTTTACTCTTTGTCCAAAGATAGAATAAACCCTTGAAAAAATTTAGCCAGCTTTGAAGCTGCACGGAAAAGTGACGGTGTATTTAATAGAGATTAATGAAATTAGTCCGTGGTCTTTAAGCACTGGTCTCACCTGGGGACTGACCAACCTGAGTGGACAACGGTAAAAAAGAACTTGAAGCATCGAATCAGATACAAAAATCCATAATGAAAAAAGTAAATACTGATAGTAAAATTATAAACGCATTTTGAGTCAGATTTCTTCTAGATGAATGAATATTTATAAAGTCAAATGGAAAGATGCTTTGGTTTTCAAAAGGGATCCCTAAAACATACTACCTAATGAAACGGACATCAAGTACATAATTTAATTTAATTTAAGTGCATAAAGAAAAGCATGTATGAATATTCGCTTTTCTATCTGGTTGTCAAATCTGACAACGCCTATTGGACAACGCCTGGGCTCGACTTCTTTATCCCGCGTTCCGTGCGAACAGACAGTTATGGGCTGACTACGTTGTGCACGATGATATCTTGATTTGCCGGTCATTTCTCAAAGTCCAACTGTTTGTCGGCCGTTAAGTGTCCGCTTGAAATGGAGATAAACTTCTCCTGCGATCTTTTCCCAACCTCAAGGCGGCGATATGGGGTTGGCTGCCCTCTACAGAATGCGTTTAAAATCTTAAAAGCGATGAGATGATCCGAAAAAAATCATTATATATAACTATGATCACATTTTATTAATTTTTTTCTGGTCTGCCACACAGTTAATGGTTAATGTTTGATGGCCATACATGCAGTGAACGTTTGAAGTAATTCAAGTTACAATTCTAAGAGAAAGTTGTAATATGTAGTATGATGCCGTGAAACGAGGTTTAGAATATCCACAAAATAACGATAAATATACAAGTTAGATGTAGCGGAATTATTTCCGGGCGACTTTTAATAAAATATTTATTCATTTATCTATTTGTCTGTCAATTTATTTACTTATTTATTTATTTATTTATTTAGGGTAAAACCATGATAAATATTAGATTCATCTTCTTCAATTATAAGAATTCTAAAATTATAAAAAAACGAAATAAAGCACAGAAAAGATTAAGATGAAACTATCAAAATAACAATAAAAAGTACATACAAATCGATAACAATGACAAAAATAACTATCCTAATTTTTTGATGTAAAAAATAGGCTGATTTAAATCCCTCTTACAATATTGAATTTTTCATGCCAATATCAAGATTACTCCACAAAAGTATAGAGCTCCATACGGGCCTATTGATTAAAACTTCTTTGTGTTTGTCACATTTCAAAACCATTTAGTGAGAAAGACTGAATTGGTTTTCAGTATTTACACGCTATACCCACGACATTCACCTAAAACCTTTATCCAGCTATGTAATTCAAAGTTTTAAACGGGATTTTTGAAGTTGATACATTGTATTAACAGGATAACTTTAGGATTGTATATAAGGCCAAACTGAGCTTGAGCGACAGTGTATAACGTCAACCATCTTACGGTGCAAAGTAACTTGATTATATACCCAGAATAACAAGAAAACGCAGTTTTGAACATATAACAGAATGAGATAATATAGCAGTTTTAGGGTGGTGGATGAAGATATCTAGGGAAATTTTTTTTGATAAATCAAAGTGGAGGTCAGTGACAGCAGGAAGCACACCCTGACACGCCAATATTGTGATAACTTTCCACTGATTGTGATGAAAGGGATTGCTCTTTAATAGATGTTGTGATAACATTTCGGTATTTTTTTTGTTATTCAAAATCTTCCACACTTGTTTTGTTTTTATGATATTTGCGTTGATAGGAACACCTCCCCCCCTGCCGTCTAGCATTGACGGGGGGTGGGGAGGGGGGCTTTGCCTCTTCAAGTGTCGTGCTTATTTATGATACGACCGCCATCCATGGAATGCGACTTCATCGGGACCGTGCTTTTTTCGGGATGAATGTCACCTATCGTGGCGACTGTCACCTGGATATTATTGTGGTGACTGTTACTGTGACATTATCGTGGCGATTGTCACAGGGACATTGTCGTGGTGACTGTCACCTGGACATTACTGCGGCAACTGTAATCAGTTACGTGTCGTTTCCCTTTTCTTAAGAAATACTTGAACCAGTTTTAACTTGGGTTAAGTATTAAACATGTAGTTGTAAAGCAGCGTCTCAAGTATCGTTCGTTTACCACCTCACAGGCGCTGACGCGTGTAAAAACAAGCTTAGAAAAAACTCCTGTTTCTTTCTTAACAAACATAATAACAGCCGGGCACAAAGCTCGGGGCATTGATCCCCCTTAATGGGGTGCCGTGGAGAAAAGACGAGAGACGCAATCTTTGCTGAAATCTGTTCATCCTTGACCAAACTGCCGACCCCGCAGTGCCGGGGCGAGATTATATTTCTAACCGGGTGATACGCAATAAAAAAGATCATTTCCCTGCTTGACACCAGAAACCGCTGCAGGTCTCCTGGGTAGAATATCTTCTAGCTTGTACAGCATCTGAGCAGACATCTAAACGAAGGCATCCTCCATGTTATTGTCAGAGGCAACATGTGTTCGTCGTCTGCTATTTTTCCTAAAACTTTTTTCGATCGTGAAAATTTAAATTAAAAAAAATGGACAGGAATTGATGCATACTGCATATTGTGTCTGGTTATCTCTTTAGCCGGTTTCAATGACGTCTCACGCACCTCGTGATTACTCCATAGAGATGTGTATTTCAGCAATTTGCTCCTACATGTCACCAACTTTCCCTACTTTGCCATTTGAAACGAATTTTTATGTTTTTAATAATATAAAAACAATTACTTCTTTCCCGAGATCATTATCACGTTATCGTAACAAAGTTTTTCGTATATCAAAATTGTTCGCGTTTTGTCTGGATGAATGTTGTCGGCAGTAGATGGTATTGAAAAGTAGCATGAGAACTGTTATACTGTAAACAAAAATGAACATGCTTTCCAGAGTTTTGTGCTCATTAGCCAGGTTAGATAAGGGAATAAATATTTGAAAAGTAGCTGACAAGTATTGCCGGAATTTTGCAGCCGTACATTCTACATATGATACCTGTACATGGAACGCCTGTGCTCAGGTGCATACCGTTGTGTGTGTGCGTGTGCGTGTGTGTGTGTGTGTGTGTGTGCGCGCGTGAGAAAGAGAGAGAGAGAAAGAGAGACAGACAGTATGTAAAAATATCATGTATACATTTTGTTGTGTACAGAATGTAAAAAAAATTCTGTGCACACATTGTTTTATACAGTACATAAAATCACATGTACACGCACTGTTGTATACAGAATATAAAACGTACGCACACTGTTGCATACAGAATATAAAAAAAATCTCATCTACACATGTCAGTGTTTATACACAGCACACCGCAACCACCGGTAGAAGTGCAACAGTAGCGTCCAGCCATATGGCGTAGCCCATTAACACTCCTCCACGTGGTCAAGTGGTTTGTAACAACAGTTCAAACATTCACAGCTCAAACCTACAGGGAGCAACTTGCAGAAACGTTTTTATGGTCCAGATGTCAGTTAGTAACAGTGACCACCAGGTTCGGGACAGTGCCCTCCAGGTTCTGGACGGTGACCACCAGTTACTGGACCGTGACCACCAGTTATTGGACGGTGACCACCAGGTTCTGTACGGTGACCACCAGGTTCTAGACGGTGACCACCAGGTTCTGTACGGTGACCACCAGGTTCTGGACGTTGACCATCAGGTTCTGGATGGTGGCCACCAGGTTCTGGACGTTGACCATCAGGCTCTGGACGGTGGCCACCAGGTTCTGGACGGTGACCATCAGGTTCTAGACGGTTACCACCAGGTTTTGCACAGTGACCACCAGGGAGACAGGGGACATTACTTAAGCATAAAACTGATACACAAGCTATAATAATCAACTGAACTAAATTTTACTTTCGGTTTTAAAGCACACCAGAGTCACACAGTTGTAAGTTGAAAATGTCATTTTAGTAGCATTTGTATTTTAATTATTACTCAAAGGACGAATTAAAAATCCTGACAGTAAAATATATGATAATTATGTATGGTAAATTATTTCCAAGCCCAAGGATATATATAATTAAAGTTTTAGCAAAGATGGAGGGAAAAAGGGCCAAAGATACCGACTGTTCACTGTCTTTATCCCCTTGTCCTCTAAACGCCAAGGACTGGACCGTATGCCCCGTATATGTAGATCTCTAGCCTCTTTATGGGACGACATCATTTAAACAGTCTGCAGGGGAGGATTTTTTGTCTAAACCATAGTTAAAAAAAGAGATCATTTAATTTAGTGTTTCCTGCAATGAGTTCGCATTTAGTTTTTCTTGAATCTAAAGTAAAAACTCTGATCTAAAGGAAAATTATATATAGTTAATAGGTTTTGCGATTTAGTCATCGCTGAGAGCAAGAAATATATAGATAGCGCCGCGATGCGTTGGCAGGGAGAGACGGGTGACTAGCACCACATCTATATCAACACTTCCCGCTGTAGACACGGGGCACATAGCGATGCTTCCAGGAACCTCAGTCCTGTACTGCCCCTCATGGATGGTCTATTGCACCAATAGAAACGACGGGTCTGACCCGTAGCCAGGGAAGGGGGTTCAGAGGTACAAACGAGCCACCCTTTTGCTTGGAAAAGGTCCACTCTGGGTAAAGTGTTATCTAAGTACAAATGTACTCGAGGGTTTCATGGTAAAAGGTCCACTTTTTCAGAAAAAGTCCCCTCCCCTTGAAATTGCTGGCTACGGGTCTGGG